CTCTGGTCCTGTCTGGGACTGGGGCTCTGGTGCATCTATCGCAACCTGGGTAGTTTTCGGGGTGGTCCTGGTTGGATGGATCGCCCAACAATACTGGTGTATTGGCACGACCTCTGAGCAACGAGCTATCCCCCTTCACTTGCTTAGTCGGGTTGACCTGCTTCCGCTTTGGATCGCGTCTGGATGTGCGGGCGCATCGTACGCCATCACACTCTACTACACACCGCTCTTCTTCGCGTTCGCTCGCGGCCACAGCGCCATGGAGCAAACTGTCCGGCTTCTTCCTTTTGTTCTGGTTTTCATTGCAGTGGTCATCTTCGTCGGAATGTCGCTCCCGGTCTTTGGCCGCTACAACCTGATCTACATCGTTGCGGGTATTGCGACCATCGCGGGGGCTGGTGCTATGGCCGGTACCCTTAGTCCTCATGTCTCCGAATCCCAGGTTTTGGGCTTGGAAGCACTCATTGGCGTTGGTCTGGGCTGTTCTTTCCAGCACGGGGTGGGGGTCTCGAATGTGATAAATAAGACCCCACGCGACCGTGTCGACAGCGCGGTCATGTTCAACATGGCACAGATGGGCGGGGTTGCAATTGCTCTGGCGATTGCGGGCTCGATTTTCCAAAATGTGGGGTACAACCTGTTGACGGACGCCATTGGGGATAACGGGTACTCAAAAAAAGAACTACGTGAGGCACTCGCTGGGGTATCGTCCGTAGTGTGGCAGTCCAGCAATCCCGAGGTTCTTTCTCGTGGGATTGACGCCGTGGCCACAGTGATTGGTCGGGAGTTTTATTTAGTGGTGGCCGGCGGTGCCATCTGTCTCGTCTGCGGGTTGGTGATGAGATGGGAACGATTGGACTATGGCAGGAATAAGAGCAAGGATGTCGAGGCATGACCGCTTCTTACAATAATGTTTATTTTTAGCTACCACTCAACTCTCACGAAGGGAAAATCCGATATGTTTTAACCGAATCAGGTCGAATGTTGCGCACACTCATGCCAAGTCTGCCAAGTGATACATATACTCGGGTCATTGGCCAACGGTTAACATTTCTACTACGATGGGGCCAAGGCAGAATGGCCCTATATTTTGGTTGGAACTGAGTGAACGCTTTGGGCCCTAGCCTGACTACCTCCCGGTTATAGCGTAGCGTGAATGACGTTAAGTTGCTGCTGTGATGTTCAGCCTCAGGAAATCCAGCGGGCTTGTAAATTATTACGGGGCTGAGTGTCTGGGCGCTGCGGCATCTCATTCATACCCTACTTGACTCTCTCCTTCAGCTTTAGGAGTGGCTCGAATAAGTTTCGGATCGATACTACCATGCAAATCCACACCGCACCTGACCCCTATTATCTAGTTTCTAGTTTCTTGCCGCTAAGTCGTGGTATGGCTGTAGATAGCATAATTTTGCCCCATTATAATTTGTATAAGCCCAAGCTAAAGTTACCACAATCAGATTGCCAAGCAGAATATGGTTGGCATCTTCATTACGATACGCGCAACGGAGACTTCCGTAGATGTCCTTCTCTGACTCCAACTCCGAACCTGCTCCCTGTGATTGGCCTTGTTGGCCTCGCTCATGGCTCTTGCCGCTGTTGCCTTCTGTTTCTCAGGCCCCTCCGGTATTTCTATAGATACCGTCCTCTATGAAACCTGGGAAATAACGGGCCCGTCATTCTCGATTCCTAGTATCGCATCGATATCTAGAATCGCATCGTCTTCTGAGTATTTGTTCATGGTGTGGTTATAGCTCCGTTTCATCCCTGTGGGCTGAAGGCAAGAGGTAGAAAACTCCATCGTCCTCTGCCACCGAAAAGACACAGTATATCGCGGTTCGTTCTCGTTGCTCTGCAGGGACGTGGGTGAGTATCCGCCCAACAGCTTGATAATGTATTTATTTCCCCTCATGTGCGGTTGTCATGTCATGCACTATATATGTAACGCACTATATATATCGGAGCTTGGTCTATCTGAGCGTAATTCTCATATATAGTGATCTTTTTGGCCTGGTTTGTAACTCGCCAGTCCAGCGGCAGGCTGTAACAGCGGCCAGAGAAACATCCACTAGAGACGCCGTAGAAGACGACTAACATGAGATCTCTAGAGATTGAAGCTAACCATGTTTGTAAGTGGCGTAGTAAGCTATTGGTCTTTGGCAGCGTCGAGCTTTCGATCTTGCAGTTTGAAGGCTTTGATTCATCACATTTCTTTTTTGCTGACGACATGCCTCACAGCCGCGACTTGAACGCCGGGCATTGAACAGTCAGCAGCCTCATACTATTTACTGCTCAAATGGTTCTTCCGAGTGGGGTGAGGTGCTAGGATGGAGACAAGAGCCTCCCCCGCGCAGTTCCTAGATGACGCCGCGAGAACCGTGCGAAAGAGCGGTGGGGCGTGGGGGCGGATGAAGGACTCCATTGTCGGGTTATAGTTTTCCCGGTCCGACCCCCCTTCCCATTAACAAATTGGTCGTTTGAAAGGGCACTTGCGCCCTATCCAAGGAGATTTCCTTCAAAATCTCGCCCCGAAAGCCCATTTCGGTCACTAATGGAAATAGGGGGAACAAGTGTTGGAGTTGAGCGCAATATCAGGACTGGAGGATGACTAACAATGTTAGGCTGCAGAATAGTGGTGTTCCAGGGCTGTGGGTAGTTAAATAGCAGCTTGGCGTCCAACGTTACGAGTGGAAAGGCGGCCGTTTCTGGTGTCGAAAGCACTCATTGTCGAAGTCAACCCCACAGGTCTTCATATTTTTGATGTAAAGAGAGAGAAAAATAAACTAGGGGGAGGGGTTTGGTTGGGATCTTCAGTCACATAATCCAACCAACCATCCACGGATCTTGAGACTCTCAATCAGATAAATAGTCTCTCAAAGTCTCAATACCAAATTTAACATGAACTGGATATTTATTGCGCTGGAACTAGTACTTCAGTTGAAAATAGACAGCTGCTATACACAACATAAAAAATAACAGGAAATCAAGACCTCTACCGCAAGAGCATCTTATTGCGCCCAACAGGCATATTGTGAATTGAAATCGTGGGCAATATCCGTGATTCAAACCCTGAAAATGCCGACAAAGTCACCAAAGTTGAAGACTTATTCCAAGCTACCATCTCCAACGCAGCGCTTCAGAGGGTACGAGTCTCCCAAACAAGTGGTAACAACACCCTTGACCCAGGACAAGGAGTTGGATCCATACGTGTAAGTATCGTGGGTGAAAGAATCCGCCTGGAAGTACTCATATTGTGCACTTCCGGGCTGTCCATTGAAGACGTATCCCCTTCGGCGGTAGGTCAAAGGGTTGCTAACAATCGCACCCCACTTGTTCTTCGGGATTGTCATGGTGACCGTGCCGGTGAGAGTAGCAGTTTCGGTGTTCTGGTAGCTGATGGAAGTACCGACACTAAGGAACCCTTCCACGGTGGCGGTATACGAGGCACCAACCGTGATGCTGTTTGCGATAGATTGACCTGATGCCATAGAAGCAGTGGCATCCGCTTCGTTGGCGTGCACGATGGTAGACATCGCGATGTCCCAGCCGAGGAATTTCTCATCGGGAAGGGGGATGATGAATTGGGCACCACCACGCTTGCCCAGACGTCTCAAGGGGGTGGAATCATCGGATCCAGTCTCAATGAACTCCGGGAGAGAATTGGTTGGTGGAGACAGAGCAACACCAGGTAGGTTGGCAGCTAGATCTCTCTTGCTGATAGTCTGTGTGGTGCCATCTTCCAGAAGGAGAGTAGCCTTGTCGGCTGTATCGGCCGGCAGGGCAGAAACGAGTGCACTGTTGGCACAGAGAGAAGCAAGGAAGACGAAGTCGATCTTCATGATGTCGAAGAAGAAGGAGTTTGGTAAAGGTCCGTGGTGTTAACCAGGAATGGGTCTTGAGGAAAGTGATATCGCAAATTTAACGACGGAAAGGACACGCTATTTAGAGTCGCTCGGGGAAGGCAACGGGGTTTCCAGCAGCCCCGGAAGGATGGTATATTTTGTCAAACTAGACGAAACCATCCTACGGAGCCATATTACCGCAGCAGATCTACAACATACCATCACCATAGAAGCTCAGCATATTCACGCAAGAACCCACCATGTTTCAGCTGTATCCTTCCGAGAAATAGCCGGAGATCTACCGATGCTGGTGATATCAAGCCATGATGGGGAGAGATTGCGACAGGCTAATCAATTTGAGTTCCTGCAGGAGCTCCGGATGATGTATGTAGATCATGAGCTGTGTACGGGTGATCTTACTGGCCAAATGCATTGGCCCTGAAGAACGCCACGGGGCAATTGAGACCTGGGGCGTGTAACGGCTGTGGGGCAAATTTGCTGATCCTGATAAGGGGCTGTGAGACGCCGTGGGGGCCAAACCCAGTTCAACCGGAGGATTCCGTACGAGATAGTAGAAACACTTTGGATCTTGGCGTTTTTGAATGTGTTGATGAAGATAACATCAACCATGAGGATTAAAATTCATTTTTTGACTAGATAGCCACTTGGAATGAAGATCTGAACCTGTTAATCATCTTGTAGATCCGGAGCGTAAACCCTGACAGATACAGTTCCCACGTGCTGATGGTCTAGAGCCTAAATGGCTAGCTAAACTCTAAATTCTTGCTAATCAGCTCTATAGTACCCACGTAGGTTTGGTTGTGAGACATATTGCGCATTAAGGGACCTTGCAGAAGGACAGGAATGATTATAGAGCACTAGAGTGTCAATTAGGGAAATGCAGATCAAAGATCATCGTTCCGATGGGGATTGCTCGGAAATTATGTCTTATATTGTCTCATTTCGACAATCGGGATCTGTACCTAGGTATGACCTGACGTGCGGAGAGGCGGGTAAACTCAATTTAGAAGGATTTAGAAGGCTATCTAAGTTCCTTTTAACGCACCGCTTCGCTGACTTTTTGAGCATCATTTAAATCTACGTCTGCCCCAGTTCTCGAAAGCCACCTTGATAATTACCTCCCTTACCATTACCATCAAGATGAAGTCCATTTCACTTATTATCGCAGCTCTTGCTGTTGGGTAAGACCTTCTCCAAATTGACATCATTGATACAAAGACTCATTCTTTGCAGTGCTTTCGCCGACCTGCACACTCAAGGTGTTTGCATCGATACCCCTGCCAAAGGAGTTGTAAGTACAAGATGAAAATATATACCCTGAGGGAATACAATTCTAACTACATTATAGGAGGTATACAATAAAGCTGCCACTGAAAAGGCATGCACTGCCTATAAGAACCGAAACACTGGTAGCAAGCAGTGGGATACATGCCCCGATTGTACACTTCTGAATGAGAAGGACCTGCTGTACTATTGCGAGTCCCAGGGAAAGCACATCGGCGGTGATGAGCTACACTATTACTGCACCCAAAACGGCGCAGGAGACAGTGTTGCTTGGTGAGAAGGCTGAGAATAGCAGCCAGGATTGACAAACATATCTTGATGCACTTTGTACTTATCCGATGTGAGGTGAATTTATGAAGCTGGTGCTGCGTTTTGGGCCCATGCTATATGTCTACACCGTCTGGGATCCAGTCGAAACTACTCTACATGTTTTTTAGACGCTCGTACTATAGCTCCTGGTAATCTAGTTCTAAGTCAAATAGATAACTGTCTTAGGCTCGGATAATCTAGGCGCGTGATGTAGATATCATTGAGTCAGGGTGGGCAGCTAGATAGTTTGGATTATTTTCGTCATCTATGGGACAATTGAGTAGGGAATTGACTTGGTACGAGTATATTCGATTGACGGTCGCATGTATCGTTATGCAAATTATCACGATACTAAGTCTCACATAGGAGTAAATTGCTTCCACCGCCTGTTACAACTCTGAAACATGGGCTGTCTTGGCTTTTTGAAGGATCCCTACGATAAGTTGGGCCATCCAGGCAACAACTTTAGAGATGTTCCCTTTCTCGACATGGTGCTATAGTTAGTGCAAGGCTACCAATCTTGAAGAAAGTAACATACCAGGTAAATGATATGGTTCTATTACATTTGAATAAAGCGAAACCGACAATTGACAGTTTGCCCCACTCAATCACTCTATCTTCACTAGATACAGCCACTTCAAGTCAAATCCACTATTCTATCCCTCTTCTCCCATCTCCGGCATTTACCGTTTGTCAAGATGCCTACTGAGCTCCAAGTTCCGATAAATCCTTTTCTGTCGATCTCCCTGCCAAGCTACCACCGGCCATCATAAAGGCCCCGTGGGTTCGGTTCATTATGATCACAGGGAGGCTGTACTGCTCCATGGTGGTTTCCAGGGAGATTTGGGTAGTGGGTATATGTGTTGTTACGCCACGGTGTTGGAGGATTGTGGCTCGATGTCTTGGTAAAGTATCTTGCGAACACGATTGCGAACACGAAAGTGGATACATACTATGTATCTGCGTTGTGTGGGTAGGTTGCCACCGCCCACCCCCACCCCCTGTCCCACCGTTGGCAAAAGCCCATGTGCGACCCGGGGGAGTTTCGGACCCACTGTTTACTATAGATAACGGGAATATGCGCTTGCGCCACTAGACGATAGCTCCCTAATCACGACGTGGTGGTAGACACGCACGCCGGAGTAGCCATAGCCCAAGCGGTTTCCGACATTGTATTCGGCCCGCTGTACGGGAGTGGAGGTCGTAGAGCTCGTAGCTTTCGGGCTGGATGCGGGTGAAAGCGTCTAGCTTCTCGAGCATGACTGGTGTATTTGGGGAGAGCGTGATAGCCCGCTGATGAATTTATGGTAAGGGCGGACGTCGTAGATGGTGTATGTTAGAAACCCTTTTTGTAGGGCTAGGGCTAGGAGGAGGCCGAAAAGACTTACCCCAATGATAGCTACGTTGGTGGTGGGCAAGTTCAGGATTCGAGAATAATATAGTGACATCATTGAATATGAGGCTGGTGAGTTTTTCGATCCTACTCTAACCATGAAGGCACACGCACAGCTCACCTCATGTGCTCTTGAATTCATACTGTATTATCATGCTTTTGCTGTATTCCAAGACTGGTTAACGTTCCCATGTGGAGATAGCACCTGGATCCGGATCAGATCCGGAATTGAATCTTAGTGTATGGCCGATGAGTGCAGCATGCTACTCAGAGAATGTTCTCAGTGGAGAAGGAATGTATACACATTCCCTATCAACGGGGTCGCACAGAGAAAAAAGGCAAGTGGGATCTATCTACATGTGCCGACCCCATGAGGAGTTTGGGGCCACCCGACGAATATATATATAAGCTAAAGTCTGTCAGAATTCCATATACTTGCATACTTCTCCAGCTATCATCCATAGTAAGTCATGCCTCTCCGTGATGCACATTTATTCGGAATATGACATTAATAACGATTTAGGAATACTTCCAAATGTAACTGACATGAAAATCACGTTAAAAATGCAAGTGTAGACATACACATAGTCACGCGACCCGCCCCCTTAGAGTTGTAAGATGCCCTGATAATACTTGTCAAATCACATAAACTGTCGATATCATTCGCATAAAGCCATAACATGTAATGAGCTCGACTCGGCAGATAATACGTCTGCGGACTCCAGGCTATTTTTGCCACTGAAACAAAATATCTCGGTATCGTTCTAGCGATGTCGCTGCTGCTTTTTTTCTTTTCGGAATAACAAAGCCCGATATTTTCAACCGGGGTCTCTCTACCGATATCAGGTCAATGAATGTAATTCTAATTGCATTGAGTAGAGAATTTCTTAGCTATCCAGCATGAGAGGTTTTGTATTTTTAAGGGGCAGGTTTGGTTGTTCTGAATTCGCCACTAGGTCCGGGGGTGTACGATCTTTTGTATGGTGGGAATAGCGTCATTTTATTGAACTTACATGGCATCTGCAATTTAGATACTTTGCTTAATAAGACACCCGTTATTCCAAGGTTGTAATTCATGTAGTTTTGTTTTTCTGCGAGGTCAAAATAAGGCAGAAACTAGGCATTAAGGCACCATTGACCCCTGAGCGCTATACACTTGGGTACAATGAGCCATTCCAAGGAAGCCCGAGGTGAAATTGAAAACCCCAAATTTCTTCCCAAATTTCTTGTTATGCTCCTCCACTAGACCGTTTCTATATATTTAGTTCAATAACGGGTTGGGCCGCATGGGAAACTATGTACCAGTTACTGATGTAAGTAACCTTTGTATGGGACCACAATACAAAAGGTACTTAGAATCAAAATCTCTCCTAACTCATATCTCTCAACCAAAGATAAGTTGACGATAAGAATCGGGTGTACTTCGTGAGTTCCAAAAGAAGCCAAACCCTATTTTCCTACTAGAAGATGAAAAAAATGCACTATTGATGATCCCTCGACTATCAACTGTCTCTTTAGAACAATCTCTTATACTCTACTCTTGATACCGTATATTGAATTTATTCTGAAATTACGTTCATTTTTTTATCTATACAATACTGCGGTGGAGGAATATGACGTTGAAGAAATTTTTATCACAAGTACTTTTTGTATGGTAGTACCATACAAAAGGTACATATATTAAGAAATTTGCACCAAACTGCCCGGTCTTTGAATCAGGATTTAATGAAGGCAGAGTGGAGGTACACTGGTTACACCAAAAGGAATTCCAACCCCCCGCATCTCAGCTAAGAAAATGGGTCGGCTCCATGCGGGATTCAATCCTGGAGTGACCCCAATTCCCTTGAAACAGGGATAGGAACCCAACCCGCCAAGACCCGGGGTTTTGGCTAACAGACCATGGCTGACTCTCCCGAGATCGGACTCTGAGACCTGATAGGTGAGAATCTCGCTTCCAGAAAATTCTAGTGCTTGTCTTATAATAAAGTTAAAAGCGCCACGGTCGGACTTTAGTTTATGCACCATTACTTTAATTATTCGAACTTCTCGTGACAACTGGTTCTTTTAGAAGCAAACTGTATGATCTGGGGTTGAAACTTGGGGTAAACCCAAACAAGGGACAGTACATAAAACTTTGACTAACAGTTTCTAAAAACGTTATCGCTAAGGAGAGATATTGGGGCCTGCATGCGCATCCGGGGGGCTGTTCAACGCCGGGCCGGGTGCGCCGGGCCGGTAACATGTGTGGCCTGGATGCATACCGTGTACGGGGTTGGCTCGCCAGACGCCGAATACCCCACAAATATGGAAGGCGCACCGGTGAAGATACGCTTATGTAAGCATCCCACGGTGTCGCTAGCCAAACCCATGAACGCATTTTTCAATGCCATCCTCAAAGTTGCAACCTCATTGGCATTTTACCCCGGACACCCCCAGTGTGTGTTTGAGCGAGTTCGTCATTAGGCAACAATTGCCCTCCCCGGACTCGCGAGCATCTCTCAACCAGTACATAACTGGTAATAGAAGATTTTATTAACCTTTATAATTTCGGACGCCAAGCAAAAGTCCTTGGCCAACCGTTCATTTTTGGGCCTCCACAAGCGTTTTTCGGTGCCTTTTTCTCTCGCCCTGGACGTTTTCTTTTCTTCACTTTCCCATATCATATACTATTCAACAATATGAGCGTCCCTGAAGCACCTCGTCCTATCCAGGACTACGAAGTATACAATGAGTCAACCGACATGGAGAAGAAGGCCTATCCGGTAGAGCCTACAGATGATCCCTTTGGAAACGAAGAATCTGGGGAAGTGAAGTATCGTATCATGCCATGGTGGTCAGTATCTCACTTTGTTTACTGCTTTTGTTGCACCGAAAGGCAAATTTCTGACTTTTATACAGGCAAGCTGGAACGCGTGAGAGCCCATCATTAACTCCAGTCAACAACATCTCCTTTCTAACACAGTTCATCTAGTGATGGTCGCTGAAAATATCTCGCTTGGTATCCTATCTCTTCCGTCCGCAGTTGCAACCCTTGGAATTGTCCCGTAAGGAAACGTCTACCTCCATGACGCAGGAATAAAACTGACCATCTCCCAGGGCATTCCTCATTATTATGTTCTTGTCCGGCATCTCATGGTACACTGGATACACCATGGGCCAGTTCAAGCAGCGTTACCCCCAGGTTCACAGCATGGGCGACGCTGGTGAGCTTCTTCTAGGCCCCATCGGACGCGAGATTTTCTTCGTCGGCCAGCTGCTGTTCATTATCTTCCTGATGGCCAGTCACATTCTCACATTCTCGGTCTTGTTCAACACCATCACGAACCACGGTACCTGCACCATTGTCTTCGGAGTTGTCGGTTTGATCGTCAGCTGTCTTGCGGCCCTCCCACGCACGGCAGAGAAAGTCTTCTGGATGTCCATCATCTCCGCCATCAGTATCCTGGTCGCCACCATCGTCACCATGGTTTCCATTGGTGTCCAGGCGCCCGCTGATGTTCAGAACGATATCATCGCCACCCCGACCTTCCAAGAAGGTTTCTTGGCTGTCACCAACATCGTCTTCGCCTTCATTGCCCACGTCTCTTTCTTCGGTATCATGTCGGAGATGCAGGATCCCCGCGATTTCCCCAAGGCCCTCGCTATGCTCCAGGTTGTCGATACTACTATGTACGTTGTGACCGCTATGGTCATCTACTGCTATGCGGGCCCGGATGTCGCATCTCCCGCCCTCTCGTCGGCTGGACCTATGATGAAGAAGGTTGCATACGGCCTCGCCATTCCAACGGTATGTTACTTGTCTCCTTGCGGCGGTTGATTTGTGGGTCAGTTCTAATTTGTAATAGGTCATTGTTGCTGGTGTTGTTTTCGGCCACGTTGCTTGCAAGTATATTTATGTTCGAATCTTCCGCGGCGAGCGCTCGCACCACATGCACCAGAAGACTCTCTTGGCTACGGGCACATGGGTCGCGATTGGCTTGAGCACCTGGACTGTTGCGTGGATCATCGCTGAGTCCATTCCGGTGTTCAACGAGTTGCTGAGTTTGATTGTATGTTCTCTAATCATTTATCACCGTGCATCTACTAACCTGTTTTGCAGAGTGCACTATTTGGAAGCTGGTTTAGCTGTAAGTCGAATTTTGAACTTACAATCTTGATGGAAAATGGATTACTACTGACTGAGAACAGACGGCCTCCCTTCCATTTTCTGGCTCATGATGAACAAGGGAAACTGGTTCTCGTCAATCAAAAAGACCACCCTGACTATTATCAACGTGATCATTCTTGGAATTGCGTGTGCTATTGTACGTTTTGCCCCTCTGTATAATTTGGGTTTTCTAGCTGACCAGACTAGTGTGGATTGGGACTGTACGTCTCGGGACTGGCCATCAATGAGAGCTCGTCCAAGGCAAGCTGGACCTGTGCCAACAACGCCACCTAAATGCGATTATTATGGCGAACATTTTAAAATGTTTCTAGTGATGGAAACGGTTACTTTATAGATTTGCTTTGGTAAGTATGGGACTGATACATAGATGGCATGAATTGGCTGGGCCATTGTAAATAGACTGCTGTTTAATTGTACACGTATACCTCGCATGCTGCAGGTGTTGGTTGATATTTAAAGGATGTTTATTACATAAAAATTGGAAATCTGAATTCTCGACATAATTTCATATTGTTCTCTTGTACAAATTAAGCTGTAAAGCCTGTCCTCTAATTATTCGGCTCAAAACTTCTATGAGAAAGTGATGCCATCACCAAAATGGTACCCGATTATACTAATCAAGCTTTTCCACCATGGGGAGGCTTACCATTTCGCTTTGTCTCCGACAATCCAAGGCATTCCGCCATGTTGAAGAAGATGTCAATCGAGCTGTACACACCTCCAAACAGCTCCTGACACGGGCCGCGCGCAAAGACAGGCACATCGGTCAAAGAGTGGACACCCTGTGCCGCATCAAGGGGGATGGTTCCATCGACCATGAAACCACTAACCGCATCCTTGTAGTTAGCAACATATCCCTTCTTCTCATCCTTCACAGCAGGTGTGCGGGGACCCTCGCTATGAACTTGGTAATTCTCCCGGTGGTCAGGGAAGGCACCAACACCGGAGTGCAGGGTGTATCTCGGGTCCCATTGGGCAGGGAAGTGGACACCTTCGGAGTACCGCAAAGCGTTAGATCCAGCGACGGTGTATTGCGACAAGCCGGAGTTTTCGTAATATCCGATTGCATTACGCTTGCTGCGGTCGTCTTCCTGAGCTTCCATGTACTCGGTGTCGACCGAGCCGGTCACATCGAAACCGTGACCGTGATCGGCTGTGACAACGATGAGGGTGTCTTCAAGCTGGCCCAATTTCTCGAGTTTCTCGATTGTTGCGCGCACGGTATCGTCGAGTTCGAGCAGCTCGCCTAGGGCACGATCGTAATCCAGAGTGTGCATCTGCTTGTCGATGCTAGCGGCCTCGGACATAAGGAACCAGCCATCCTTGCGGTGGCGCTTGTCGAGCACGTCGATCGCCTTGAGAGTCATGTCCTTGAGTCCGGGCAGATCGTCTGCGTCACGGTCCGAACCATCGGGGTAGTTGCTCTGGTTGTAAAGGTTGGACTGGTAGACGTTACGATCAAGCCAAGTAGCGAGGTTGGATTTCTGGAAAACACCGAGCAGCTTCTCGTCAGTTGGGGCGCTGTTCAGAGCGGTGTTGTTCCAGGCAACGTTGTAACCCTTCTCGGCGAAGAGCTTGTAGTAATCACGGGTTTCTTCGCTCTCGAGGAAGTCCTCTGCACCAGCACCGAGGAGCACATCGGGGCCATCCCAGTTTGTCCACTCGTAGTCGGTCAGACCTTCGTAGTATGAGCCGATGACATGGTCGTATTCACCACGGTCGCTAGTGTGAGCAGCCAACCCAGCAGGGGTAGCATCTGCCAAAAATGCAGTGGACACAATGCCAACACCGGACTTCGGGTGCTGACGGCGGAAGATTTCTGCGATTGTCTCGAATTTCGGATCATCAAAGGCGTCGCTCGAGGAGTCTACATAGACACCCAGAGCATTGACGGTAGTCTTGTGACCAGTGTAAAGGGCCGTGGCGGAGTTGGCCGAATCGGTAATGAACGAGTCCATGGAGTGTGTCATCTGGTGTCCCAGCACAGGGAACTTGTCCAATGCCATCTTCGTCTGATATTTGCCGTTGATGCTGCGATGGGCAATGAGACGTGCCGCAGTGATCATGTTGGTTGTCATGCCGTCTCCAACGAACATGACGACGTTCTTCGCGCGCCGCTTGGTAGGGAGATCACGAACAAGCCAGTTAGCGACTGTCTTTTGTTCCCCGTAATAGGTCAGAGTGGCCTCGTATTCGCCGGGCTCATAAAGAGCGATTCTCCTGTAGATCTTTGAAGTCACATTGACGAGGGAAGGTTTCTCTGCGTCCTCGGCGAAGCGATCTATTTCTGTTAGCTTTTGTGTTCCCCAAGAAGCGAACGATGGGAAGCTGTTACCTTCAAACCATGTGAAGTTCCACCTCTCTAGCTTGGGTTCATCAATCTTGAAGTATTCCGTTGCAGTGACAGGAGCACTGTTCTTGCCCTTTCCATTGCCCTTCTTGGCGATGGTGAAGGTAAAGTTCTCGTCTGGCTCTCCGACACGAGCTTCAGAACCATTGACAGGGGAGTGTACTTCGAGACGGATGTCGAAGTACTGACCCGCTAGGAAGTCAACCCTGCAAAGAGGTATTAGAAGCTAGTAATTAGGCGCAATTGAAACATTACATACTGATCCGGCGGGAAGATACATCCCAAGTCAGGGCAACCACCCAAGCGCTGGAAAGTCTGAGCAGCCGTGAACGCGACAAAACATGCCAGCGCGGAGATTGAAGAGGCGCGCATCTTGATAAGGCGATCGTGATGAAACGAGTTACATTTAGAGCGAAAGCACCTCCGTTAAGTACAAGGAGCTTTGGAGCTAATTGCAAGCGAGCTGCCTGCCAAGAGTCTCCCGCCAAGATAACCTATAGTGATATCGAGACACAAATCTCCGAAATGTCCCAGTGCCTGGAGATAATGGTCTTGCTACACAATAACTGTTCTGTATGGGAACGAATAAGAAACAAGGAAGATTTGCACGTGCGTAATCCTGGAGTTTACCTGGGAAGCTTGAACCTCCTTGCCAAGTCAAGGGAACGGAATGCCAAGCCAGTCCAGCCAACCCCAGTCATCCGCCAAGCCATATTGGCTTGGCGGGCCATTGCACGTGGGATGGATGAGAGATGGGGTGGAATGACGTTCGTTCTGCTCGAGGCTGTTTCTGTAGCCACGTGAATGCTTCCATATAGCTGCCTATCATGGCACGAAGGAACCGCAGAGGTATAACAAGGCGCTAGCCAGTTCTATATCTCTCCGGCGGTATTCCGATGTCGAGAATAGGTAGCTGTAAGCGTTCAGTTGAAATGTCCAACCTGAGACAAAAGAAATAAACGACATACCAACTAAAATAAATAAAACAACATATGATGTCGTATGTTGTGCCAATAAGTTGCCAATGATTCAGGGCTATCCTATCATTAGCTCTACTAGTTCAGCTGATTCTCCAACCCCGGTGGCAGACATTATGTAGCGTGGCTGGGACCTAGATAGGCCCAGCCTCAGGCTAAGTAATGGGCCCCGAGGTCATCAAGGTATTATTCATAGATATATCAGGCGGCGTAGAAGTTGCTGTGAGTGAGAAAACGTGATTACACAGCATCAGCAGGGGAGGCTGAAAATGGTGCTCAGCTCTACAGCATCTGCGCAGAAGTGCTTTTTTTTTCGGTCTTGCTCTTCTGTGATATTAACCATGATGCTTTGAAATAGATGTGAACTGCAGTATATTAGTTGAAAGCAATCACAAATTAGACAAAGAACCGAGTACTATTATCAGGCTCTGGAGATGACCACCGGTATTGGACAAAGAAATGCATTCTCAAGGGTTGTCGCGCTAACCATAAACCCTTCAGTTGCTACCATCTGAGGATGTTCTGGAAATATCGACATTGATGAGTGTTCTATTAATGGGCAATCTTGACATATTGTAATTGTATGTTCATGAAAATCTATTCTCATTATAGTAGCTAATAATGTGAAGGCGTTTGACCCATCCTCAACCTTTACCTTCATTGATCTCATAGTTTATTTTAAGGCCGTGACATTGCTTGCCATTTCGACTCTCTTTATTGTCGATGATAGGAACCACGGATTCCCATGCACATAGCTCACAAAATGTCAAAGACAATGGAGTGTCCATGATAGCAGTCTTTGAAAGCATATGTTACTATTTAGGTATGAGTCCAATCAAAAAAATAGTATATCTCTTCAAATACCGCATGGTTTAAATTTAGCCCTTTGGTTTCGACGATTCTTTCGAGTCCATCTCTTTGACCATTGTCTATTGATGGCGCTCAGTGGGAAGGCCAAAGATTAGCAGCATCTATAAGTCCCTAATATCCATCAACCTTGCCCTGCTCAACAAAATTTGACATAGGGAAACCCACAATGTCCGTTCAAGGTCTTGGATTGATATCACCCTTTCTACGGCAAACTTCATACCAATGCCAATTTGACGTTTCCAGCTTCCCTCCATCACTACCCCCCACCCTCAAATACGGTAGGCGACAGGCCGTTGGCCGATTACTACAGCAATGGATCCAATGCCCAGAAACCGACCCATCTATCCAATTATGTCCAGTTCTACCTTCTAAGCTGAAATTCAAAGACCTCGAGAAGCTCAAACAACTTGAAATCGACACGGACACGCCTGCTTATCTTCCACTCCAGATTGAACACGAATTTGGAGACCTCGAAATAATGGGACCAACAGGTGGGGCATGGGAAAAGATCCACATAGCTGAATCTGATGCTCCACTAAACCCTAAACACCCGGAGATCAGTACGTGGGAAGGGCTAGTTGCGCCTGGGGCATTAATTGTTGAAGAAATAAAGAGAACAAAGGATGTATACATGTCGGAAGTCTGCCAGGCCATTTACGAGAACCACTTTCCGATTGATACCTTGAAGTATGTCTATCTGCTCGATGTTTGCAATGTAGACACTCGTTCGTTTGTCAGGGACGAGCTTTATACCGAATCTAATGGCCTCGCTTGGCCGGATGAGCAGATACGTGATTGGGTATCTGGAACCCCGGAATTTGAGGCACTGCTAGGGACCAAACTTGGACAGACTGTGGCACATTTGGTTTTGGGGGCCTTCAAACGTGGAACTCGCCGAATTTCACGGATCAGAATCTATGATTCGTTTGAAGCATTGCAATTACAGTTTTCTATTGAGGAGATTGAGCATATGGTTCCGACTTATAACCCGACTCAAAGTCCTTTGGCTCGTAGCACAAGATCGACATCGCGCCGCCTCCGAAACATCGAATCGAGGAAGCGTAAGGTGGACTGGGATGAAGAGACTAAAGGAAAGAAAGTTCGGAGTCAATGGTCCTCATGAGTTGAGCGTTTATGATTGGATCAAACTGTATATTACTGTCCTTGCGAGTTGTATTTTACTCCTATCTGTCTTTGTTCGCCATGTCACAATATGCATATAGTGCTTCTATACTTTTCTAACTTCCCGAAATTCTTATATATTTCCCTTTTTGTAATACAGTTATCTGCTTGCACCCTAGTTCTGCTTCCTCTTGTCTCTTCAAATTAAGTATTCTTGTAGACTCTATTAGAATGGCTGCAGTACCTGCAAGCTATGTACGGAGTACTTCTTTCCTATCTGGGAATACCTACTAGTTTTATTCCTACTAACAATATTGAAAATAACTATAATTGATGAAGGATGTGGAAAGCCAGTCTGTAACGTAGGGTCAAAATGATCCCATATGTTAGTTTTACCATATATCCATCTTCTTACGGCTCTAGCTAGGATGGATGGTTGCTTTATAAGACTTAATAGACACATTAATTTCAAAAATGGCTAATCCATCAAAACGCCAGCGAATGCTGATCTCAAATTCACATGCCACCTTGAAAGGATACCAATAAAGCACTAGATCAATATTAATCCAACCCAAGCGACTCTCAAACTTCGCCTCCCCACCATGAATCCGTTATGAACCCGCTTGCTCGAATAGCTAGATCAATCATTGAGCGAAATTAGACCTTCACAGAGGTCACTCCGGCCATGCTGCAGATGGCACAGAGCATCGATCTGAAACTTCAACCGTTCGTTCCCCCTGCTTTGACTTCACCCGAAAATGTTCCGCCAGGCAAATGTCCCGAGCGGGCCATGTGTTTCCGAAACCTTCACTATCGGATGTGGTAGTACCAACCCATGGCGTGGTTACACCTTCCTCTACTCCTAACGTCAGACACCGACGAATTCTATTATTATAATCGGCAAACCTGTCTCCACGCCTGCCGCAACGTCATCGCTTGCTATGTCAATATCCGACGCACTGCCGAAGACGGCTTTCAGTCGAGGGTTCTTGATTTCCAAGCCCTCACTGCCGCAATGACAATCATTATCAATGCACTCATACCATATACCGCACATGACTTCACCAAAGAGGATTACCTAGCTCTCGACCGGGTTGTGGGTATTCTGGAGCAATAATCACAGAACGCTCCTCTTGACAAGATTATAACTCGCGCGTTACACGTTTTGAAGCTTATCAAGGCGGTAGGAATGGGGACCGAACCCGCGCGACTTGACGAATCTGAAGGAAACCAATACAAGAATGGAAGGCCCAGTCGCATCAAGCTGGATATTCCCTATTTCGGCACGATATACCTCGAACGTCGTACCATACTCAATTATTCAACTAGAAATATCGCTGCGATTAGTATGTTGCCGACAGCCATGCCCAGCACTACTCTTGGGCAATACTACCCATCATCCTCATGGATGAGCACGATCTCGGACCCTAGTTATGCAAAAGAGCAGATTGCAGAAACTGCACAATGGGCGGATACCAGCTTGACCTTCGATCCGCCTACCGAGTTTTGGGCTCTCAATTCTGAGTTCACGTTTTAGCCTCCGTTCTTGGCTGATTATGATGTTAATTGGGATTATTGGGATATGATGTCGTGATGGGCATGTGCAAGTAGAGCAGATTTTTGCTCAATGTACACACCTTGCTTTTCAGTTTTTTCTCCCCCTTTTCATTTTGGTCTTTCGACACGTCATATTTCGTCTTGCTTCTATACAATGTGTTCTTAGAATCATTTGATGTGCCTTGAACGGTCCTGTTTTTGATAGATATTTTAGTCTGCTCAGCAACAAAACTACTTTAATTCGTCTTTTGTCAATGCCATTGCGTTATTTTATCCTTTACTTTCCCTTTATCAAAGATTCTTGACGAAGGCTGATAAATTCGTAGCTAGCTCTCACCCGCGATTTGCACCTGGGACCCCGATCAAAAGATCCCTATGTAGAACGCCCATAGAATGACACTATCGAATACGCCCGCGGCCCACTTTAACATCCCACCCCTGGCTAGCCTGACGTGGCATATTGATCTATTTCAGTTGCTCGGGCCTCCCAGATTATGGCTCAATAGGGCTGAGTCAACTTCCAATGACTCAAGAATCAAACTTGGATTGTGGAAAGGACTGTCTTCGTCTGCTCTGATTGGTCATAGCTTCTTGGTGTCGATTATTCTTACTCTACGTTGGGTCTAAGGCTTCGCCTAGCCCTGGAGGTCAATAGTTTATGCACCAATGATAAAATAGATAAATCGGTTCTGATTACTATTTGGGTTAGACTGCGGGAACATATTCTATGCTGTTCTAAACTGGGCTTAGGTTGCCCAGGTGGGAATCGGGGGCAGCTTACCTAATAGATCAATAGAACCTTGGAACCTTCCAAGGTTGGAATGGATGACATCCATGTTAACTTCAATCGTTGGTCATAGTAGATTGAATGTATGGATTTGTTTATTAAATCTACTAAATAAAGCAAGTAAAACGACAGTGTACATTTGGGTATACATCATGTCATTAGGTGCGTAATATACAGGAGTGATAAGGAAAGGAATGTCAAACTATACAGGTATCGCAGCGGGGATGAATAACGACAAGCTCAAGAAGCATCGGGGGTAATATGATCTATAATAGAGTCAGATTCTAACCTATGAAGGACTGAGTCTGTTATATGTGCTCTAGAACATAAATCAGTAAGAAACCACGTCAAGTCTTAGTCTCGGTGGAAGAGGCACATACGAAAAGCCTCTCGCGATCATATCCGGAAATCGGTTCGTGACGAACCCCCCTTCTTCCTGGATTTGGTGTATGTAGGAATTGATCTCCTCAGTCGCAGCTGAGTCACGGAAGGTTACCTTATTTGTTAGTAGGGTTCACTGGGGGAGAAAGGGATGGGCGTTTACAATGTATTTAGGTGCCATTTGGTCGGACATGTATAATCTGTAAAAGACTTTCCGTTCGAAAAAGAGGGGAGAGAGACACACAGAGAAATAGCTGAGGCTTAGTATCAATATGCTGTCAGTGGTCAGCCTGTGACTATATAAGCCCCTTTGAGCCAAGAACGTTGACGTCATTGTATGGGAGCCCCGGGTGTTCCATATACAACATACTTTGCATACAACATAGGTGGCAACTATCATTACATCTATACTTTGGAATTGGGCCAATCTATTTTAAGACTGTCTATTCCCCGCCTTGGATGTGGATATTCGAACCATTGTTTGAATGGACAATATTTGGACATTGCCTTGTTGATCGTTATCTGGGTTCCAAGGATTATTGCCGTGACGCGTACCCTCGAATACATCGATCGGCGACATCCTATTTACAATATGGCTGGTTTATATCCTTAAGGTGACATATTATGCAAAGGGTCTAAGCAGTAAGACGTCGCACTCTAGTTTGCGGGTTTGAAGTCGTATATAGATCTATGTGAAATAGAGGGATGATAGGTCGGGTAATACGAAGGAAATGGGTAATACTTCTAGTTATATGTGAAGTAAATAAAGGGAAAGAGACCCACGAGGACCACGGGTGTGGCAGCCAACCGAGATCTTATTCTAGCCCTTTCAGCCCTTGGGATGACAAGAGCTCCGTAAAGTGACCCCAAGCCCGCTTGAAAGTTGGATCCTTGGCAGAACACTCACTCAACCATCGCAGAGCCTTTTGAACTCTTTCCAATGACTCGTTTCTTTCACTAGCACTCGCTTGATTCTGGGTGAGCAACTGCGTTATGAGCACTACGGTGCTTTGTGCGAGATAATGGAGAGCACACCACCAAGGTGAGCAACCCAAGAGCCAGGAGATGTTTGGTTCATTGGGCAAGAGGTCAAGCATTTGGCCTGCTGAATTGAGACAAACCATTGCCATTGGGATGTCAAGGCCAGCGAAAGAGTCTTCACCGGTCATATGAGAACGAAGGGCAGGTTTCGAAATGACAAGCTTGGTCGAATAATATTGGAAAGCCAAACTCGTACGCTGACGGATAAAGGCTCGGTCATCTCTGGCCTCTGCGAAACGGTAAGTCGCAGGGAGCCGCGCAAACCAATTGTCAGCGGCGCTGTTGAGCGATGCCATGGCCAGTTCGGTGTCACTCCGAGGTCTTCGCCCAGCTTCAGGGGAATACAAAATCTCAATTGCTTCTCTCATCACAGCTGCCAGGTCAATGGAATAAAGTAAGTACAGTGAGACGTTAGCCTGGAGCTGCTGGCTGGGGGAGACAGATTGAGACATGGGTTGCGGAGAAGGCGAATTGGATAGAGGGTCGTTCGGTTCAGTCGAAGGATCGAAGGAGAGCAGAGAAGTCATGAGGCGGCCTCTAGATTGAATGTCCAAGATAAGCCTCATCACATGCTCATCCCTGAAATCTTCTTCCTTGTAGGGCACCGGCAAAGGGGTCGTGCAGTGTTCCTGCTGCATTCTGGGCATGCGTCCAGTAATGACACAAAGCAGGATGTCCAACAGGTACAGCGCCCACCATAGCCGATATCTTGTTTCTTTTGACACGTGTGTGATGCTCGGACTTTCGTTACGAAGGTGGATTCCCATCGCGATCGCGGACTGGATTGCAATACCACATTTTCTCCATGCTCTAAACGAAAATCAGTGGCTAAAGTAAAGGCTCGCAGTATTCGACCTACCTATTGACCTGTCCGATGGAAAGCAAGTAAAGTGATATTAGACCCTCTACCTGTGTCTGCTGCAGGTTGGGATTCTCCAATAACACACTCTCGCTAGTGTGTAATCGCCAGGCACGGGAAAAGTACACCGTGTGGATGTTGTGATCTAGCTGAGATTGATCTCCGGAAAGCTCGGAATGTCTTGCAGCGATCGCAAACACCATATTCAATAGGGCCATCCATTTTTTCCCGGGGTGCGTCGTCGAGTTCGAATAGAATGATCGACACTGGCTGAGGAAGATTTCTTTGCCGACGATGGGGAAGGAGGCGTGCGCGACTTGGAAGTACCTGTCCACAAGTTCATCGGCGACCACTTGTGAGGGATATGCGAAGACATCTAAATCATTTATTGGCGGGATTGCGGTGTCGTCCATAAAGAACGCACAGGAAGAAATCGATGGATGGGATGATTCCTCGAATTGGCCGTCCAGATTGGAACTTGTCTGACCAATCAAGCACTTAAGCCTGTATAACCATGCCGTTGCCGAATGTTCTCCTACAAATCCAATGGCTTGCAGTGAAATGTCTCCATTAAAGTCCTCCAAGGTGTGATCCACGTAGGAAGGCGTTCGGGTTGACGAGTCTGTCTCGTCTGGTGTTTTGACGACGGTCGGCGACGATAGGGAAAGGCTAGATATCTATAGTTTGTTAGATTTATCAAGGGTCTAATCTCGGTTGGGCGGGCCATGGGGTCTTCACTCACTTTTCCGAGAGCTTGATCAACGACTTTGGCTAGCTCGGTGTCGAATTTGGGGTAAATCTCGCGCACGAGAGCTTCGTAGTGTTGGAGTTGGGTCGTTATAACTGTAAGTTGTCTAAGTTCTGGGGTAAATATTTTGGGCGACCACATCCAGGAGAACCTCAGACCTAGCGTTTCTTTCTCGTTTCCCGTCAACATAGACGCAAAGAACGTTAGCCTCCTGGCACCGAAGGCAAGAAGGGCGATGGCCAGAACACTTGTTCTTCTGTTTGCGACAATTGTGACATGCTCGACTAACTCGACCGTTATTGCTTGCAAGTGGAAGGTCGAGTCGGGGAATGGCCACTTTGGCGTTCATTGGCTGTTCCCCGGAAACTCGAGGTGTGTTCCAGGGATGGTATGCACCGAAGACTGTCGATGTCGACTCGAGCGGGGTCAAAGGCGAGGCCTCTCTATTCTCAAGCCCGGCTGTGTCGTAGGTGGAAGGATCTTTATCATTTTGGACAGATGGAAGGGGTTCAGACTGCGAAGAGTGACCAAGAGACGGCCTTCGGCTCATTGCGACTTGGCCCCGCTATTCATTGTCAGTGCTAAGTTATAAGCGAGGATGGGAAATGTGAGACACACAAACCAACACGCTTGTAAGCAAGTGATCGGGAAGAATATCCCTGCCGATGGTGGGATTATCAATGACCGGAGTATAGCTTGTAACGAGACTGTTTTGGCAAATGAAATGACACTTGTGATTGGCAGGCTACCGTTGCCGGCTGAATACCATTCGGTACTATTGGTTAGTGTACCGAGATCATAGCGGCCCACTGTTGTCTCGATTTAGTAAAGACAGACCATTGTGTCGAAGTTGCTCGGATCATCTGATGCTGGTTACATATTTTTAGGTGTGAGGTATATTCCAAGGCTGAAATGCAAAGTACCCGTTTATTATGCATGGCAAATAAATTGAGTTGAATGAATTCGATCATGAAATATCTTCAACACCAAATCTTAGTCGATCATGTTATGACCTCAGGAGGTCGAGCCCCATATGGATGCATGCTTCATGCTGAATGGTCGCATAAAACACCCAGCCAATCATAGCCTTTATAGCCGACCACGTCTGTCCAATAGAAATGGATGTCGATCTCAATATGGGTTTTATATCCATTGCACCCATGG